AAAAAGGAATTAAGGGTGTGCAGGGAGAAATTGGATATGATACCCGACGCCTATTGTAAATGTCAACGTTATTACTGTGTTGTTGTTTCCCATTCCTTCAGCTGCTTTGGCCATTCACAGGAGTGACAGTCTATAGTCTGGTGGGCTTAATGAAGCCGTCTCAGCAGCCAAGGTCTTGGTACGTAAGGTGAAGAGTGCTGCTTATCCACTTCTGCATGCAGTTCTCATTAAGATCAGTTTTGCCGGTGAATACTTCACCACCCACTCCCCCCTTCTTCCCTGTCTCTATCCTCAAGCAAACGCCTGTTAAACTTATTTAACCATTCTGCCCTGAAGCTTTACGAAATTCTGCTGCAAAGCATTTCTTTTCCTGGGTTTTGTTCTTATTTATTTATTTTTTTTTGCCTCAGATAAGAAAGCCTTTGCAGATGGGTTTTGGTAAAACAAAAGCAAAACAAGCAACCAGAAAAATGCATTTTTACACCTGTCTGACATTATTGTGGTCCATTTCTCTGAAATGCCGGTGAATGTGCACACATAAATTGGTAGTAAACTCCAATCAGGTGCCAGTAGCCAAATGACAGGGTGCAACACAACTCTCTGTAGTTGTCCATTAAAATATCATGTTTTGCCATACCTCATAAAATCTTGTTTTTATAGTGAGGCAGCGACAGAAGTTGTAGACTAAGCCTCTGCAAAGAAAGATAATAACAGTGAAAGTGTTGAACGTTTCTTCCAAGTTTTTGGGTAATTGGGGAGATTACTGTTCTGCACTGGCTGCCTCTGGCAAATGTTCTCGCTTAATATATTTCTTCAAAAAAGCGATAATTGTCTTCAATATGTAAGGGAATTTCTTTTCTGGAAAATGAAGAAAATTTACCCAATCAACGAAGGAAATGTGTGCTTTGGCGAGCAGCTGCTTCAGTATGTAGTCAGTTCCTTACTACAGCCTGAGACAAAACTGGAAACATCAGAGCTTATTCTCAATATTTTACACCCAAATCAACCCTCTTCAACTGATATAAGAAAATACTTGTTTTTTTTTTTTCAAAATTGAATTTCCCTAAGAGACTTTTATTTTCCATCTTGTGGCTTTGCCACGAGTGAATTGCCGTTTGTCTGGGCGATGCCTGCATTGGGAGTTTTTTTTTTAAATATCCCAGAAGGTTTTTTTTTTTTTTTTTTTTTTGCTGCTGCTTTTTCAGCCTCCTGCTTTAAATTCTTGCAGACATTCGCTTAGTGCGGCCACAGTCTGCTGCCGTCGGCCACTGAGCAGCTCCACTGGAGCAAGCTGAGGTTTAAGTGGCTTCCTCGAGGGTGCCACAGTGTTGTTTGTTGAGGGAGCAGCTCGTTCGCCTTCCAGGCTCACTCGAATATCCGTCCTTCGATCTTACAGGGAAAGTTCAAGATGAGCGATTCCTCCTGTAATTATGGCTCGACCAACCTGGCCATCGAGGTGTGTGTCTCTTGAGTGTGTGCGTGTTTCACGGCGTCCTTTGTTCTCGCCCTCCTGCCACTTCATCTCACTTTATAATGGAAGTGGATGACAGCCACATCTGAAGTCGAGAGATGAAAGACATCATTTACAAGTCGGTTTCTGCTCTGCGTCTGTGTGCCATCTTCAGAAACTCCCTCACACACACACACACATTTTATAACAGGCCACTCAACACTACACCACAGCTTCACCAGTACAGAATGCTGCAAACATATTCACACCTGTTCATATTGGGGGGGGTTTTCATTGTGTTACACTACAGCCACAAGCTTCAATGTTTAATTTGATCCAAGACAGAGGAGTGTTCAGCTGCGAAGTGGAAGGAAAAGCTATAATTTCCGCTCATCTCTGTGTTTTCAGGGAGTCGATTCCAGAAATTGAATGTTGTCTCTGAAAGTTTCATTTATTTTTGTCGAATCTTCAATGATCCAATGACATTCTTAAATCTGACTCTTTGATGTGCATATATACTGTATTGTTACATTAATGGGCGATGCAGTGCAACCATGCTGCATCTGCGTCACCCGTTAATATCTAAAAAGGTCTCATGCTGAGTTACCTTTAAGACCATACAGAATGGCTCTGCAGCTGACTGTTTCTAAATTTACAGCTCTCCGAGGAACCATTCATGCCACATTCATTGAAATGTCATTTAATTTCTCATTTCTTTATGTAACGGTAAAAATAAAAAAAGAGAAAAAATCTTTGTTTTTCTTCTATGTTCTGTTTCTTCCTTCTCTTCTATGAGGTAAGGAGTATATATATTGATGAGAATAATTTCGGGGTTTGTCATTTTTGTGGTGTAGATGAAGTTTAAATTATATCAAAACTAGTTAGTTTCTGTTTTGGTTTTTTGTTGCAGTCAGTGCGCGGCAGAGATCTGAAGCCGAGACACAAACCTGGTGCTTCAAAGGGGAACTCGGCTGATTTCAGAGTCTGTTTATTGGTTTTGGGGAGAAAGGCTTCAAATAAAGCCCACCGCTGCTCTGGTGGGGAAACCTGACGGACAAAAACAAGCAGCGCACTCTGGGTTTGTTTACCTTATGATCTGCCTCTTACCCTGTGAGCCTTCAGGTTCAGGAACCACTCTCAGTTATTTGACCAAAAAAAAATCCCAAACAAAAATAAAACTATAGATTATTTATTGGGAATTAGCTTTATTATATGTAAAAAGATTACACTTTTTTAAAGAAAACTCTCTATATTAATTTTTTTTTGTACTTGTCCACGTACTTTCAAGTTTAAATTTTTTTATTATTATTATTTGTTCCTTCTGATGAGTATTTGGACTGGTTTCACTGCAAAACTTTGATTTTTTATCATATTTCTGACAATGTAGCTGTTATGTCAGGAGTTTTTAAGCCTGTCCTTGTTAATGATGCTTAAAGTCCTCCAGAATGAGAGACTCTGGGTGTCTTTGTGGTAAAGCTGCATTTCAAAATAGGAGGGGAGAAAAGACACAAGGTTGGCAAAAAAAAAAAAAAAAAAAAGAAAACAGAACGGAAGGAATCATAACAGAAGAGTTGTTCTTCTTTTTTAATAAAAGGATTCTGGTGAATGTATTAGCTGGCTGAATTTATTCATCAAACTTGTCATCCACCTTTTGCTTCCCCCCCAATTTTGTTTCTGCGGCCTGATAGTGATCGTCTTTCTCACCCAATTACGAGAGACATAACATGCCAAGCTCCGCTGTGTTGCCGTAATGTCTGCTCCTCTGCGTCCTACTGTACCCTCTGGCCCACACGAACACCATTAGGGGTTGGAGTACAACATGCACCGGCATCAACTCTCCGCGCCTTGTCTTGATGCCCTTGAGCGGTAATTGGTCGAATCCCCACAGAATCTGACTTGAGGGCACAGAAATCCACGGCTTCCCAATCAGCCAGCTGTCAGTCATTCTGCCAACTAAACTAAAGCCGGGGATAACTAACGGGCTGAGATTGGAATTTAGAGTTAGTGAGACATAAATCTTCCCGACAAGTTTGTGCTCGGAGAGAAAATGCTCTTTTAGGCAGGGATATCACCAAATTGGATGACAGGGATGCTGCCAACATGGTGGTTTCGGGGAAAGCCCAACATCTAATTTGCTTTTCACAGAATGAGAGAATGTGCTTTTTTTACCCTCCCTTTTCTGTGCTGCATGTGCAAAAGTGACACGAGGAAGCGAATAAAAGCCCCGATTAGCAACATGTGAGCCAATAAATTTAAAAAACATAACATTAGGATGAAAATCTGTCTTATTAGTACATTGGAGAAACATGAAGTGTGCATTTCATTTCTTTTCTCTGTGTTAAAAGTTTTCCTTGAGCACAACACCACAAGAAGAGCCTTGTGGAAAAGAATTGGTCCCCTGCGACTCCACACTGGATCCCCATAACCCTCAGCCTCCTCCCTGAAGTTTCACTTTAATCACGGTTCTAAATCTGCGCCGGGTCCAGGGGCAGCCGACCCCGCTTCCTGACCTTCCTGCTGGGGGGAGGGCAGGCCGTATCACAGCTGCCGGGGAAATCGATAGAGAATTAGATGATTCACACGTCATGCTGCCGCTGCCCGTTGATCACGCTGGAAGCAAGGCGACTGACTGTAATCCCATTCAGTGGTGATTAATGCCGTAAAATGATGATCTGTAACAACCCAATTCGTCACCCTCCTCTGGGGTACATTACCCCCTTCTTCAAAAATAATACAATTGTATCTGCAGGATATACTGAAGGGCTTGCAGAGTTATGTCCTGGAAGCAAACAGAATGGGAGAGGAGAACACAAAGTTACACAAAACCAGAACATAACAGATCGAGCTTGAAGTTTTAATGGTCCTGTTTTGAGCACAAAATATTCACAGCTTGGGACACTGCCTTGGAAAAGTATTCATTTCTTTATTGCTAAGTGTTTCGTATTTTGTCTAAATAAGATCAAGTTTAACCAGTTGCTTTCAGAAGCAACCAGGAGGTCTGTGGATACATGGAAGAGCTGCAGAGATGATCAAATCAGGAGAGAGAGTCTAGAGAAACACTGAAAGTAAAACTTTTGAACTACAAATGGAATTTGACTTACATGTTGATGGCCAGGCTTGTCGTTATCAGCATGCTTGCTACAATACTTCCATGAGAAAGTACATTGTGAAGAGAAAAAAGAAAGATAAAACACACAAATAAACCAGAAATATATATATATTAATTCTTTGTATTTAGTAAACATTTTTTATTTGCTGTTGTTGATTACATGTTTCATTTTTTCTATTCTTGTTATAGTTTTTTTCTTCTTAAAAGGACTAATGACTACTGATTGGTGTTTCTTCAGTCGGACGTTTCTGTTTATATTGTATCTTTCTCCACTAACTGACTGCAAGCAAGAAGCCAAGTGGATAAGAAGTCCGTATTGTCAAGTGCAAAGGTAAAAATAATTAATAAATCCTCAAATTTCGGACAGGTTGAGATACATGGTATGCTCTAACGGAGCTCCAATTTCCTGAAGCAGTGAACGCACCGCTTGAGAATCTCAACGGCTTGATTAGTCTTACAGCTTCAGCTGTGGACTTTGTTTTGGCGCAGAAACACAGAATATGACTTCGGAAGGAACACGGGAAACTGATATTTGAAGAATTTAGTTTTTATTTATTTAAAAAATACAACTAATTTCAAAATGGACACTAGATAGAGCAGTTTTGGGACAACAGATGATACGCCGTTTCCAGGAGTTTTGAAGGCTGGGTAAGCTAACCGTTAGCTCTTGTTTGCTAAATATGCGCGACTGTTTTCAAACAAAACTTTAAAGTTCATCTTTACTTTAAAGCCGATATGTACTCCATAAGAGGATAAATTAGTAGTAGAAGTAGGAGGTGTGTCAGTTCTTGTATTGACTTTTGCTCTTCTGCTAGCTCTTAATTATATTTCTGAAGCAGTAAAAGTGAGCCATTGTGATGCAACAAGAACCTGCAAAGTTCTTGTTTTCTCTTTTTTCTGTCTGTTTTCAAGCCAGAAAACAGACAGAAATGTCTTTCAATAGGCCACTCCTTTCTCTATTGGCCTGTTCATAACTAAAGGCAAAGTCTCTTCAGGATTTTATGGTGGACAGAAGAGTTCTTGGTTTCAACATTATCAAGTTGTTGTGATAGCAAAGCAGCCAAAAACCATTTTGGGCTTCATGTCTGTCTAACATTGTGATAACACTAAATTTTACAACACATTTTGAAAAACATCTACAGAATCCATTTTTTCTTCTGTTTTGCAAGTTGACTTTGCAAAAAAAAAAAAAAGTCCTTTAATGGTCATAGAATATGTAGCTATACCATACAAACTCATAAAAATGCATTAGAGCTTGAACACTCTAATACATTTGTAATGTTTCGATTAATTTTTGTCCTTCATAATAACAAAGGATGAGGTGTTAATTGTGCTGCTGAGATGGCACTGTTGCCTCAAGGTTTAGCTCTAAATGCTTGAGCCTCAGCATAAAATCAGAACCAGTTGGACTTTTTGGAGCTATAAACGTCATATTCCTGGGTGGAAGTTTGCTAACTTCTTTAGTGCTTCAGCTTGTTGATATGAACTCCCTGGCTATAGTAATCAGTGATTATTATGAGCTAGTAAGATGGTTGAGAAGGACGCTGATTACATATATATGCAGAGGCGATAACAGCTGATAACAGCCTTTTAATGAGATTATTTGAATGTCAAGGTGACTTTTATGAAGTTACTATGAGGATGGACAAGACATACAAATGTGACCACCACCTGCAAATGTGTACAGCTATTTATACAGCAATAATTTTATATTTCAGACTTTAAGAAAAAAAGAAAAGCTACCTTTGGAGTTGTGTGATGCTTTACAGCACCATTATTGTCTGTTTTGAAATATTTAAAGAGAACTGATGATGAGGAATAAGCTGTATGTGGTGTATGCTTCCGTTTTAACCATAAATCAAATTAAAATGGCCTGATGCATGCAAAGTTTATGCACATCTACAACTTGGAGTTTGTATAATTTAAATGATGTTTCTTTTTCCATTGCATATTGAACTGAAACAAAATTGTCAAAATGTTACAAGTCACTATTGTACCTGCCTTTAGATAATTGTAATTTTAAAAAATTATTATTATTGGATTACTCTAACCAGAAATGTTTTGTCTTTTCTGTTGTCAGTGTGTCTCACACAGGAAGGTGATTGGTGGCACACCGCCTTGTACACTTCCTGCAGTTTCTATGTAAACAATTGTCTTTTTAAAAATTATTAAAGCACAATGCAAACAAGACTTAACATAAAAAAAATTGTATTTTCATGAACCACCACATTGGTTCTGAGTCTGCAGTTCTGATAAAATGATAGGAGCCCATTTTGGTCTTGGCCCCTTTTGACCTGCTATTAATCTTGGTTTCCAGTCACAACAAATCTGGATTAATTCTGTACTAAAGATGTTGAGAGTTATCCACTGCAGGTAAGATATTAACTGCTTAACGCCGTTTTACCAGAATCCCACCTCATAAAATGAGGATTATCTATTTAAGCTTGACTTCTTGATTGCTTTCTAGCAGAAGGCTGGTTTTACATTTTACATGAGATCCTACAAAGAGGGCGATGCAGCAGAGCCACTGCTTGACTGCACAGAAGGATGTTGGCTGCTAACACTACTTGCATGTCCAGCTGGCATAATATTTTTCCTCTTTGTATTTACTGACAAATTTGATATTTTATTAATTTTGGGTTGTTGAATAGAATAGGCAGTGTTCCTATTGGATGGAGAATAAAAGCATTTATGAGAACATTATAAATACTTTTTTTATAACTTGTATTGAAGACATTCTCGTTACCCTGTCGCCTAATCTAAGCATGTAAAGATATTAACTTTGTACTTTGATTCTCTTTTATACACTTTCACTAATAGTCTGTGTTTCAGTAGACCAGATATGTCATAGATTTCCATTCAATGACATTGTTGCAAGAAAAGTTAGTGATTCAAAGTTGTTTAGATTAATGATCAAGTGATGCATTTGGAAAACATTTATTAAACATCCATCAATAAGACAGATGGCCTAACCAACAGATAGGCCCACACTGCATAGTCATAGTGATGGGTTAGTTAAAACACTAAAGGAGAATTGCTTATAATGCCCCTGAATGTTGTGCATAATGTTATCACAGCATTCAACGTGGTTTATTCCGTCTCCCCAGCTTCATGCAGCAAACCCGTGCTGAGCACCAGTCACATTAAAATTCAGATTGATCAACTCTTCGATAATTCATTTCTGCTGTGGTGGGAGCATCGTCGCAAAGCACAAGTGGCCATCTAGTTATTTGATGAGCACCATAATTATTTTAGCCATATGCCAAGGCTTTCCACAACACCTGATCCATCGCAGACACCAGCCAGGGATGGACCCGAGCCCAGCGTGCTGTTTGCTGCCGACAAACCATCCTTATTGACATTTTCTGTATTCACTGTTTGCTTCTTTATCTCTCATTGTTTTCTTTAATCCTTCTCAACTTGGCTTTTCCATCCGCGCCCACCTCACACACCCCCACCCTAACTTCCGATTTTTTTCTCACCCTCAACCCCCACCCCGTTCACTTGATTATGTCGAGCCAGTCGGGGAAAGTGTCACTATGGAAACAGGGGCAGAGGCAGTGTCTGTGGAAGCAAAGGAGGGGGAGAAAGAGATGAAGGAGAAAGAACGGGAGCTGGCCGATGCGGAGGAATCCAGGGGTGGTCATCTGCTGCAGAGCTGCTTTTCTTTATTATTTAAAGAAAATAATAGCAACAAATTTGTTATTCAGAAGGAAGTGGAAACTGCAGGTGCCCCACTGGGTGGTGTATTCTTATCCATTGCGCCTTGCTGTGCTATAAGTACTTCTTTTGTTTCTGTAGGTGAAGCTGCACCCTCTCCAGCAGTTGTGTGCACAATCGGCACACTAGCTTCTAGATTTTTACAAACTCTGAAATTTCTTAAACCCTGGACGTTTAGGTATTTAAATCTGGCTTTGTTTGAGATCCTTTCAAACAGGATTTTTACATAAGCATTACAGTGATATTTGCCTAATTTCATTTAGACACAAAATCTAAAGCAGAAAGATAATAAAATCTCAATTTTCCTGGTTCTGCCTCTTCAATCTGCATGTTCTTAGTTAATAATTATGGGGTAGGATAAGATGCTAGAACAATGATCTTAACTAAAATACGTTCAACGCTTGTTTTTAATTAAAGCAAATGTATGAAAAATTTTTTAATTAAAATGTAATTCTTGTTCTTTTTTGCTACTAAAATACTATGATGATCATAACCTTCACATTTGCGTGTTTGGTTGTAACATGGTATTAGGCAATAATTCATAAAAAAGCAATTAAATTAAGTTTCTTAGTAAATGTGATATTTGCATAGAACTTTATCTTTTCCCTTTATCCTGCAATAAGAGTCTGAAAACCTGTTTCAATGGTTAATTATCAAGGCAGACATAATAGTTTCTTCTCATCATATATAGTTTTAGCTTAAATGCGATACCTGGTGCTTCTTTAGTTTTCCTATAATGAGGATCTATACTTTTACTCATTGAACGTCGCTTTTTCTACGAAACAGAAAAGGTGTAGCAGCCTGCTGATCAGCAGTGTGTGGCAACAGTTGTGGAAGAAGCAGTCCTAAACTACATTGTGCCTTATGTCAGCCCCTAAATGTACAACTTTAGCACAATATACTTCTAACAAAACATTAAGTCTTACTTTGTCCAATGCCAAACTAGCATATTTCTTACCTGGGAGGGGCAGAACTTGGACTTAAGAGATTTTAACAATCTGGTAACAATCAACACACTTGAAACCAGAATTTGTGTTTGACTTTTACATTGTTTATCATTTTGACAGTCATGGGCAAAAATATCCCATCACTTTTTAAAATTATGATAATGCATTCAGTACTTAACAGAGAATTCACTGTGCACAGCTGAATACATGCAACATTTTTACACCGTGGTCAAAACCACTGACTGTGGCCACAATAACTAAATGTAAACGATAAAATTAAGCAGTTGAATGATTCACCCACTGTGCCCTGAATGCACGGTCTCACAACTTCCTCCTCACCCACATGCTCCTGAATTTTGCACCTGCTTATGCATAATAAAATGTCTCAAGGAGGCTTGCTTCAGAATTTTAGTTTCCTCTGCAATGTACTCTGTTCTGTTTTATCAAGTGAACAGAACATTGCATTATCTGTCAAAATGTCGAATGACCTTCATATTTGTCAGTTTAAAAAAAAAAGCGGTCAAAGATGGGAATTATTTGGTGATTTAAACTGTAGAGATGGCATAGTGAAACTTTTTGGCATTATCTCCATCTGTGGAATTTAATGTTCATTCTTTGATTTTTCCGTGTTGACTTGTAAGATTTATTTTCTGTCCTTTAGATGAAGTTCATTATTTATTTTAAATCATTAACCTCTCAGTGAATGTTTTTTTTAAACCAAAGATATTTTCAAAACTGCTAAAATGATCTTTCCTATAAGTGACAGAAATGTGCGATCTTCTTTCAATCAGCTGAATAGCAGTGTGCAGCAACAGGTTTGGGAAGCATCTCTCAGAAAAAGGACTCTAAACTGTAGGCGTGTTGTACCGACAATTGTTAGTGATTTTGAACCTGCGGTGTTGTAACCTGAAGACAACAAAGCAGAAAATTAAATTTTTTGCTAATTCTGAAATACCCAGAGAGGAAAATCAGCAAAATCTC